TTTGCAAGAGTGTTAATGTGTAAATTTCAAGCATCAATGAGTGAAGTCTAGAGTTTATAGCAATAATAGGAAAAAATTTTATAACATACATTTCTCTTCCCTGGTGCAACTTTATACAATGAATAATATCACTTTCATATCTGTGTATTTACAGGCAAGTGGGAAAGTTGCAAAAAGAAGTTGTACTCATTCAAACTTCTGTGCAAAAGAAACGATTAGAGAAACATGACATGCTCCTTGATTGCAAAGTTCAAAATATTGAAATAATACTTTTGTTGGGATCATTGGATGTCATCACTGAAGTGGAGGTATTCAAGCAAATGATTTTAAAATACGTGCAGTTGTTTGGAAATTAATGCAGTGCCCTTAGACTGCTTATTCTTTCTCTTGTTCTATAGCCCGTTTAGGGGCAGGGAAGACATCTTCTTTCAGGAAGGAAAAAGGGCCAAATGGTTGTCATTCCAGAGGATTAAGCATTTCACGCATTTCTCTTTTCTCTTTTGTTAATCATGTCTCTTTAGCTCTACAGAATGGATCTGTGTTTCTTACTTATATATTAGTTACCCAAAAGAAAACAGAATTACAGCTATTGGAGTTAAGAACTTTTTGCACAGTGATGTGCAGGTAGTATGCAAGTCACCTGCCAGCAGGAGCAGTTCCCTGCACTCTCCTAACATTGTACTTAATGTGTGGAGGGATCTTGCTCTGCACTTTCACCAACAACTGTATCAAGGTGGTTCTGGGAAGACACAAATCCCACTGAGTATCTCCAGGTGGGGAGAGTGCGCGGAGAGGCAAGAATGGACACCCGAGAAATCACGAGATAAAGCCAAGGCCCACTAATGGTCCACATTTCCCTGTTGGCCTTTTTTCCTTCTTTTTCAACACATTTCTGTTATACAGGATATTTTAGGTTGGTTGCAAGTATATGCCCGTATTTCTGTCCCTTACGTTAGGAAAGGAACACTGTACAGTTCAGAAAGAATGTCTTACTCTCAGCTAATCCACAGTATATTGAAAGTAGGTATTCGCTTTGCTTCCCTAGTCATCTGTGAGTTCTTACTGAGTGTGTTCGTCGATCTCTTCTCTTTGGTCTCCCTTCCCCGTCCTCCTCCCCTTCCTACTGTGCCTCCAGACACTCAGAAATTCACTCAATTCCATCCAGTTTTCAGTTACGTAAAAGGCCTTGAGGTCCTTTGGGCTACTCAGAATGAAACGTCTATAAAAGAAGGTTTTCTCTTGCTAATATTGACCACTTCTCATAGCATAATTCTGGTGTGGTACTATACTCAAAAGTCTTTGTCTTTTTTATCTATTTTAACAGAGATCACATTCTAGACAGGAGGTAAGGAAAGGAGAAAAGCCTTTCCTGGCCACAATTAACACAAACCCAACTCAAATAGCTTTAAGTTAAAAAAAAGAAAGAAAGAAAGATAGAAAGTGGGATAAAGGGATGGGGTGGAGTGGAGGAGGTCTTGCGCATGTCTGAATCCAGGAACTTGAATGCTGCTGGAACTCTTTCTTGCTCAGTACGTATTGGTTTTGTTCTCTCTGATCGACGCTCTCCACGGGGCTGGAGCTGTAACCACTGGCTTTGACTAGAGGGGAAAGAAAACTTTCCCCTTCCTTGTCTCAGAGAAATCTTGTCAGAGAATTTGGATTGGCTTATTCTGGGTCATGTACGCACTCTTGTGTGTGTAAAAAGAGGGGAAGAGGGGCCTGTTACCAGCAGAAGGAGGTGGGAACAGAAAAGCAGTGCTCACTGTGCTACTGAAAGAAATGGAAAGTCTGTTTAAAAAGGTAAGGTAGCTTTAAAAGAGGCTTGTTATACAATGGAATAGAGGAGGAAGCAATTTTAATGACTGGCTTCTACATAAATGTTGGTCAGAAATAATGTTGCTGCTCTGGTGTTAGTGAACCTTCAGGAAAATTTTCCAGCATGCCTACCTTCAATGTGAAATTATTTGTTAGCATGAAAGACTTCCATATTTATGGAAGGGTATTTCAAAGCAGGTATAGTATTAGGACTTTAAGGTGAATTCATATTGAATCGTTATCTAAAAAGAAAAGTGAGACTTCCACTTTCCAGTTCAGCATGTAGAGGCTTGCAAGTTGCCACTCTGACCTAACAAAAAGTAAAAAGTTGAACAAAGTGAAGAAACAATAATTTATTTGATTCATAAGAGAAGTAAGGTCACAGGTCAAACTGCTGCCCCCCAAACTGGGGAGACAGTTGAATACACAGTGTAGCAATTTACTGGAGGAGAAACCCATGAGCAGAAACCTCCATGGGGAACCGGTGCCACTGCGGTAGGAAAACCTAAACTGTAGTTTCTGAATTGCTGGAGGCTCAGTGTGGAAAAGTCTAAGAGATTTAAAAAAAAAAAATGTCTGGTTTCAGGGGACCCAGTGAGTGGGGGCTCCCACACTTTTGTAGGTGTTTCTTCCTGAAGCTCTACCAGGTTCTCCCTGTGAATATCAGAGAAAAATCTACTTGAGCTTAAGGCAGTGGGAGGAGAAGAGGAAGGGTTCTGAGAGCCAGAGAATTCCATTCTTCTTAAGGTCTACCCTCAGGTGAAACGACTTAACCAGAGCTGAACCTTCTGGAGTTTATATTAGCACCTAACCCCTCTGGGAGAAGGGAAATACCCAACCCCAGTCAACTCGAGCCAGAAACACTTGAGAAGTTTACAGTCCGTGGACACAAGCTTGAAAAGACTGGGACCTAATCTTAGGAGTGTAGAAGGCTTCTCCTCCCCACAAACCTCACAACACATTACTAAAGGCCTGTTTAAAGCACTTCCTTTTACCCAGTACATCACGTTCGACTATCAAGAACAAAAGTACAAGACACACTAAAAGGCAATAAACACAGTTTGAATAAATAGAACCATCATCAGAACCAGACTCACATATGGCAGGGATATTGGAATTGCTGGTCCAGGAATGTAAAATGACTGTGATTAATAAGCTCAGGACTCTAATGGAGAAGGCAGACAACCAGAAAGATCAGGTGGGCAGTGTAAGCAGAGAGATGGTGTGTTTCTTTCTGTTGCTTATAACAAAATACCTGGAACTGGATGATTTAAAAGAAAAGAAAATTAATTGCTTACACTTTCAGCTGGGAAGTCCAAAGTCCAGGGAACACATCTGGTGTGGGTCTTCCTTGGTGATGGTTTTACAGCACTGGAGAGGTCTCACATGGCAGAAAATGGCTGAGAGAGAGGACTTCTCATGTGCTCTTCTCTTAAAGCTTTCTTGGAACCACGCCCATGACCACAATTGTTAGTCCTTCACTAGGCATGATCTTCAGAATCTAATCACCTCTTCAAAGCCCCACCTTTCAATTACCATAATAGGATTTCCCAGCTCTTAACACTTTCACAGTGGTGACCAATCTTCCAATACATTAAACATGGGGAGGACACAATTCAATCTATTCAATCCATAATAGATGGCAAATCTAAGAGAACAGTAAAGAATTGCTACAGATCAAAAACACATGAAGAATGGTTTTGGTGGGCTTATTAATAGGTTGCACATGGCTGAGAAAAGGATATCTCTGAGCTCGGGGACATCTCCATAGAAACCTCTAAAGCTAGAAAGCAAAGAGAAAAAAGACTGAGGAGGAAAAAGAACAGAATATTCAGGAATCTTGGAAGAGCTACCAAAGGTATTACATGTCTATAATGGGAATACCAGAAGGAGAAGTAAGAAAGTAACAGAAGACATATTGGAAACAATGACTGAGAATTTCCCGAAATTAATGTCAGACATCAAACCACGGATCCAGAAGGCTCAGAGAACACCAAGCAGGTGTTTGGTGGTTTCTTTTCAGACAACACCAAAGGCATGCCTCATGAAATAAATAATTGACAAGTTGGACTTTATTAAAATTAAAAATTTCTGCCATGTAAGAAACTGTCAAAGGAATGAAAGCACAAACTACGGACTTGAAGAAAATATTTGCAAAACTCATGTCTGATAAAAGACTTATCTGAAATATATAGAAAGGCACTGAGCCCAGCTGAAGGAGCTGCCTGGAGTCCACACAGCTGTGCTCCCCCAAAGGATATCACCCCATACCCCACCATCTGTGGCTCACAAGTCTTCTTCCCAATCTTAGAAGTAGAAGTGCTGCTGGAGGGTGTCTTATGGTGTGGGGAGGAGTGGGGGTAGCTGTGCCCTCACCCTCAAGCTAGAACTAAACCTGCAAACCTACACACTCCCTTTGGGGGAATCTTTACCCCTCCCAGTCCACCTGCAGGTACTGAGCTGAAGGGGTGCATTGCCCCTTGGGAATTGTTGTCTTACTTGAGAAGCTTCTTGGCTGAGTTAAGCATCTATGTAATCCAGGGCTGAGATGATGTAGTGCTTCACATCCCAGGGAAACAGAGCAGTTGCTGAGGTGAGGCGCTGGACAACTCTGGTACTCTGCATCCCTGGAGCTAGACTGTTATCTTAGAGACTGAGCTGCTGAGAAACCCCTTCCCCTGGGGAGTGAAGTCAGCACTGTGCTGCTCCCTTCCCCCCAGAGCCTAAAACTCTGCACCCCTCCATTCTGGGTTTATGCTGCCACTGCACCTGGCCTCTGAAGACTAAGATAGTGCTAAGTCCCACTGTTTCAGGGACTAAAGTCACCACTACAAGGTGTCTTATCCCCTGGGAACTGAGTGACAACTAAGCCCCATTTGCTGTCGTTCCCAAATTGCAGCCA